GGCATGGAGAGACTACTGTTGCCAACAGACTGCCGGCTGAGGCCTGACATCAGAGCGATGGAGAACGGAGACATAGGTAACGTCAACCTCACCTGAAAAGAGAACAGCTGAAACTGTACATGTGTACTTTTTGGTGACCAGGACACTATGAGCCTCAAACTGTGGAACAGGGTCCCGTCAGGAGCACTGGGATAATTCCTGGTGCCCTGAGGGTCATTTTGGTCTACATTGAGCTTAACAGGTGATAAAATGACAAGCAGGAATGAGTTAGCAAATTCTGAGAATCAGATTCACTTCACCCAAGTCACCCTCACCCAGTGTTTGTTATGACTGCCATGTCCTGTGTGACTTTATCCTGGTTACCCCTTAGCCATAACATACCTTAAAATTTGTTGGTCCTAAACATATGTTTTGTGATCTGAGTAAAATTCTCTGAGATGAGCGTAATGGATAAGTCTGGTAACCTCCGTCAACACTACAGGTGTATTTATACAGGTATTTCTAGTAAAAAATAGTGTTGAGTCGTAAACTTTTCGTGATGTGTCAACCACCTCATCCAGCCTTTTGAAGGAGGGACACTGAAGCATCCCCAACCCAACAGAGAGAGCAGAACTCTCCATCATGTCCTGGGTCTGCTGCAGGACCTCCTCTCAGTTGGACATGCCTTAAACACCTTAACAAGGAGGCATCCTAATCAGATGGCCAAACCACATCAACTGACTCCTTTAGATGTGGAACAGCTTGACTCTGAGCTCTTGGCCCGATTTCTAAGGGAGAGCCCAGACATTCTACAGAGGAAGCTCTTTTCTAGTGCTTTTATCCACCATCTCATTATTTTGGTCACTTTGTGGCAATAAATGAACATGGATTAACTAGAAAATTTTACAGCTTTGCTTTCATGATCAGCTCTGCCATGAGACTCTGAAACAGAATGGAGTTTGTTTCAGGTTCACAGCTCCTCTGTGAAAACAGTAGAGCTTATTTTTAAACAAATAAGTGGCATGACATCTAACCAAAAAGCAGAAGAGGCAACCTGTTAAGGACTGACTTCTTTCTCCAAGTAGTTACTGTATTTGTTCTCTAAAAGAGCTTTTTTTTTATTTAGGGTTTATTTCTTCTTTATGGTGACTTCAAAAATATGTTTTATCCTAAAGATGCCTGACAAAAGAATGAGTCAATATAAAGGCCCATTTACACAAAAGTAAACTAATAATAATATGATGGTATACTATAAAACCGCTAGAATCTTTGGTCATACCACCCAGGCCTAATATGTTAAAAAGACCATGTAGGGAAAGATTAGAAAATTATCAGCCTCCTAGTTTATACAAACACAGTGGCCAAAGGTGAAGTCGAGTTATCGTTTCAGTCTGACCTTCTCTAAAAGTTTCTTTTGTATTTGTGTGTTTATAGATTTGGCGAGTTCTGAGAAAGAGCGTTTAGAGGAGAAACAGAGAGCTGCACGCAGGGAACGATCCAAGGACGAGGAGGAGTGGTCAACCAGGTGAGAGGTTCTGAGGATTTAAAGAGATTTGGGGAGGGTTTTTTTATAGACCGATTTTATGATTTCATACACTTGTAGCATGACAATCTCATGTTTGTACTCAATATGTCAGTATTATCAGACCAAATCAGATTTACTTTACCTCTAGCATGAAACACAGTGAGCAGAGGTTCAACATGAAGAGAGAGGCCGCTTGTATAATCACTCTGTTATTTTATAATGTCCAAACTCAGAATGTGTAAATTCGTCTACCTCCCAAAATTTCATTTTCTACAAGCAATGCTTGAGTGATGCATTTTACAGATGGAAATAACTAGCTAGACGTTTTAAAATAGACGTTAGTTTGAATTGGAACCCATTTGAACCATAGAGCTTTTATTTATTGGAGTCAGGACTTTATAATGCAGGAATTAATAAAGTGGGTGACATCCATTTACCAGACTGAAGCACATAGCTAACATTTGCAGTATCTTCAGTTTATTGTTCCAGTTAATGCTGGGATTGCATATAAAGTTCAATAAAATTATAAATCACTACAAAATAAACTTTTAAATACTGAAAGATTCTGTCAGTCTGACAGATAGATTGACAAATCTAATTAAAATAAGCTAACAGTGTGCAGATGACTCAGTGAATGACTGTCCTGGCCAAACAGTCAATCACTCCAGAAATGCGCCTCCCTTCTCTTTACTTAAGTTTGAAATATTTGCCCAAAATGCTCAGGAGTGAATTTAGCCAACATCATGGTGATTGAAGTATTATCTCTCCATATTTTAGCAGTTGATTGTGTTCGTATTGTTTGCTCCGCAGCTTGTTTTTCTTCGTGTCTTAACATTTATTTCAGATTCACATTTGGTGTTGTAAACACCAAAGTCTGTTTATGCTATAATTAGTTTTAGACCTGCAACGATCTGCTTTGTTGACATTTACTGGTTAAATAAAGACTGAAGAAAAATAAAACAATAATAAGCAAATGAAGATTGACAAAAAATTGCATTCAAAATCTAATTTGTAATGTGTGGAAACTTCCTTTAATGTGTCCCCAACACACTAATTGCTCATGCTGTGCAGCATTTTTCATAAGCATGTTATTAAAACAGATATGGCTTGTTGACTGCCTCCTCAGGTGGTTCCAGATGGGAACAAACCCTCACACAGGAGCCGAGGACTGGCTGTACACAGGTGGATACTTTGACAGGAACTTCACTGACTGTCCCAACATTTATTGACACAGGAGGTGTTTGGTGTTTAAAACAAAAAACAAACAAAAAAAAATCTTCTCTTTGCTAGGTTTCATTTTGTTTCTCTGTGAGTCGTGACAGCCAGACGCTCGCTGGTACTGTGTCTTTGTTAGGATCGATGAAAGTTGATTTCAAACAGGTTATCAGATCATCTCCAGCTGACTGTGACATTTGTCTGCAGGAGATGTGTAACACTAAAGAGAACTGTAGAGTTTACTTACTGTAAACATCAAACATCTTCTTTATATGCCCTAAACATGTATGTTACTCACCATTCACTCATCCAAGGGTTTAAAAGCAGCCACCAATGTGATCTGTGGTGTGGTGAGCTACCTGGTGGAGGATGCAAAGGAAATATTTTCAGTTTTAGTTCGGGTACTCAGGTACCATAATCTCACCTGTAGATGTTCCACGCTCTTCTGTCAAGCTGCATTCAAATATCAGGGGATATTTAATCGCATCTGCTACTTTTATATAACCTATTTGGAAATTAGATGTCTGTTTTAGTTAGCACTTAACATCAAAGAAAATGTCACAAAGTGTTTCTGTGAATAGAGACTTACAGTAGAAATGAAAGCTGCTTATAACCACGTTTACTGCCTCAGTAAACAGATATGTTGGTACATTATATTGTTCTCCGCTGTAACATAGGTAATGTGTATAATAACCATGCATGCTCACCAACATCATAATTTCCACAAGTTAAAGCCATACAAAAAACTTTTTCTGCACTGAGAATAAAAGCCTCCATATAAACCTTTAAGGCAAAGGGATGCAGAAACGAGACGTTTTAAAAAGTCTGACACTGGCCGCCTCCCTGGCTCCTTCACCGCTCACACACTGTGAAAATGTTCACAATGCACAGTAAATATGTGTGGGTGAACGTACAGAGTGTCAGACGCCGTTTACACTTGGTTTTAAAATGTGTCAGGTCCAAATACACCGCATTAAATACGAGTATACAAGCCAGTGATATGGCTTATGGCCCATCTCTGTGTGGTCTGGTAGGCACTGTGAACAATAGAGTTGGAGCTAGCTACTGTGACACCACCCACTGGTTTCTGGACTTTTTCTGGGTGCACATTAAAGCCTCAACATTAGCATGTTACTCTGCTGGTCGTTATGACTCTTTATCCCTTGAAACCCTCCTAGGAATAACCCTTGTCACTCTTCTGTGATCGAAGTGGTTTCTGTCATATTTCAGGCCTGTATATCTCACTAACTTCTGGATGTGCATTAGAAGTTAATGAGGGTTTTCTCTGCCTTTGCTGCTACCCTACTTTTGTCTGATAATTTTATCAAAATGTTCCAAAATAGCAGAAACACAGTGATAAGGTCCAGCTCAGTGACTTGGGTGAGGTGAGGCTGCTGCTGCCTATGTCTACACACCTGTCACTCCCCAGCCTTTAGTCTCACCTGCATCCAGTTGTTGTTATGAAGCACAAACTGTCCACATGTACTGACAGCACTTTTTCTATAACGAGCTGTGAACAAGTTGTCTCCATATCTGAAGCTTTAGTTCTACTTGAGGAATTAAGAGGGTTTTTTTGGCATCTCTGCGTTGGCCTCATTTTCAGTCCCAGAGCGCAAAGTGCCAAAAACTGCAGCCCCTCTAATAACAACTTGAGACTGGCTCCAAAAACAACTCAGTTCCCACAGGCTCCCATGATAAAATGCCCAACTTTACATCATTAATAAGCGTGTTTACAGCTCCTTCTTCCTTTGATTCCCTCATATTTTATTTTTAACTTTTAAACTCAACCCTTTCACTGCTAGCGAGGCTAAGTTGGGGATAAATTTGTTTGGCAGGTGTGTCACTACAGGCAGCTGCAAAGCCCTGAACTGGACTTATCCACTCTGTTTGTGCTGTTGGAGCATTTTTAGTAGCTTATCTGACAAATTATGCAGTCTGTGTTCCTTATTTTCTTTATTTTTATTTGTGTGTCATTCAGCTCTAGTTTGCAGATATGTGTCTCTTGCACTTAATGTATGCAACTTTCTGACAAAGCTTGCTAGCCTTAACTGATCACTCATTGCTCCACCCTCTCATCCAGATATCGTGGTGGCTAAAACGCTGATGTTGAGGTTTCTATAACAGCTGCATGATGTCAGAGAGGCTACTTTATCTCTTACAAACCATCAAGCCAGGACGTGGTGGTTTTTCTTTTTGCTATTTTGTGCACCGTTTTTAAAACTTTGCCTGCCAGTCTCTACATCTGGACTCTCCAGACTCTTGACTGATGACAGACAGGTGAATACTTGGGGCACTTTGACACACAGATTGTAAGGAAGTCTGAGCACATGTGGTCCGATCCTTGGAGGCAACACTGTGATGAGTCTTGACTGTTCACTTGTGATCCAATTTCCAGAGTGGCTTTTTAAAACCAAGTGTAAACACTGCATTAAATACATATTTTTAATAATGCTCTGAGCTTCGGTGCTGCCAAACAATATTAAACATCATAGGTAATACTTATAATAATGAACACACTGATTTTCTGCTCTAACTTCACTTTGGAGCTTATAGGATCGTAAACACGAATGATAATGTTTCCATGAAAATGGTTAATAAGCTTTCAACTACAGCTTGAGTCCCGTTTTCTTTTTTTTTCTTTTTTAAATTTGTTTACATTTTTAGCAAATGCCTGCCATTAAAAACTACGCCAAATTAGTTATTCTGAGGTTTTTTGGAGGGTTGTACCCGTGGACGTACAGGCCACTGCGACAGGGATACTTTAATACTGTAGATAATGTAAAAATTCTCAGGCAAGTTCTGCAGTGATAGAGGGCATCCTTTGTTCTGAGTGGATTGTTGGATATTTACATAATGATATCCTCTGGAAATATAAGTTAAACTAACACTAAAAATGTAAAAAGATTATAGACATCTGTTCACATTGGCCTGAGAAAGAGTAGAGGCATCTATCTCACTGCTCCTCGATTGAAGGTGCACTCCATAGTTTGAACACCTCGGCTTCAAAGTGACTGTGTTGTGCCGTTTGTTTGTACAATGATCCCTGTGAGCCAAAAGTTCAGACTGCTATAAACACTCATTTTCAGACTTTTTTTTTCCTACTCTTCACTCCATGTGATAGTAGTGAGAGTGGATATCCCTAATTTGGTCAACAGCTATGGCCTTAGGCACTAAGACCCCACCCACCTGCAAGGAGCAGCCAATCAGAAGAACAGTAGTTCTGAGATAAACACTTTGTTCAGAGGTAGAAAGTATAAAAGATAGCTGTAGCTTTGTATTTTAACCCTGTAGTCTTTTTAATGGCCACCAGAGGGCGACCTGAATCCTTGCTTACTCAGTAAACAGTTTGCTGGTGTGTTTATAGAGTCATGTACTAGATTCAGATCATGTTCAATAGAGCACTTTGGTAACTTGTGGTCATGTGATTGATAGTGAGTCAGCTGCGTCTCGCTCCTCACACCTGATTTCAAAACACCAAAGTAATTAAAATGTTCAACTCGAGGCTTCATAGCAGGACTTCATTCAACACTGGGTGACGTCCCTGTTGCTGTGTATGTCTTTTATGTTTTTTGTGATTTAGACACAGAGTGAACTGAATGAGCCATGTGTAAGATGGGGTTATTTTGAACTGTGAGTTATGCAGAGCTAATCCAGTACAGTCCAAAAAAGAAAACATGAAGCTGGGAATGAGCATAATCTGTCCCCTTAATGACAAAGCTGCATCATTTTGATGCCTTTTTCACACGTGGATGAGTAACACTTTGTCGGAGCCGTGCTTTCAGACACAGTTAAAAGCAAATAAGACGGGATGTTGTAGGCATCATGAACCTATGCAAACTGATCCTTCCAGTCTACCCTCCTGAAATGTGAAATAAAACACTCTTTAGCTCGCAGCCTGTGTGCTGGAGACACTACAGAGGCAGCAGGTAATGAATATTGTGTGCTGGTAGTAAAATGCTCACAGTAGTTTCTTTTTGTTTCTAAGCACTAGTGTTGCATTAAACTGCACATTTCAAATGCTCACTGTCCTGTGCACATATGTACGGTGAAATATCCCACATCATGTCTTCCCCTCTGCTGCTGTTTGTGTCTTTACTCTGAATTCAAAGCACTTTGTGACTCCTGCAGCCGCTCAGAGCTGCAGGATCAATCTGATCCGATCTTGTTTTATCCCCCGCTGTCTCTTTGCCGAGCCTCTTTTTGAAAATGTTTACATTGTATGTTTGTTGATCTGTTGTTTCCTTTCCTCTTCATACTGGTATCCACACAGCCGTATGCATACAAAGCATATTTAAGAAATAAATTATGGACTACAAAATCCTTGTGTTGGAAAATCTGGTTATTCTCTCCAGATGTTTTTCTCTCATAACCACCACACGACACTACTTCTCATTTTTGTCTTTTAATTAACAATTTAAAAAAGATTCAAGGCCATTTTTAGTTTTATATAATAGTGGAAAAGAAGTGTACTGGTTTTGATTTTGGTATTGATGTTTGTAGATGATGCTGTGATCTGTAGTAAGAGTAGCAAGCAGGTGGGAGAGACCCTGGAGAGCTATGGATGCTTTATAGAGAAAAGGAATAAATATCAGCAGAGGCAAAACGGAATAATGCAAGGAGCAGAGGCTGGGAAGGTAGATGAGTTTAAGTGCCTAGCTTAACCATCCAAAGTAACACAGTACATGAACGGTGAAGAAATTAGTGCAGGGAGGGTGGAGCACATGGTTTGTGACAGAAGGATAGCGTGAAAGGGAAGGTTTACAAGATGGTAGTGATGAAAGACAGGAGGCAGACCTGAAGAGATTAAGATTTGCACTGAGAGAGTGGACAGGATTAGAAATGAGAACATCAGAGAGACAGTTCAGGTCGAGCAGTTTGGAGACAAAGTTAGAGATGGTTTGGACATGTGAAGAGGAGGGATGGTGGGTATACTAAAGAAAGAATGCTGAATATGGAGCTGGTAGACAGGAAGACCTCAGAGAAGATTAATGGATGTAGTGAAGGAGGATTTCAGAGGGTTGATGCAACATGGGAGGACGCTACAAATAAGGTGAGATGGAGGCAGATGATCCGCTCTGGCAACCCATAAAGGGAGCAGCTGAAAGAAGAAGAAAACATTTAATTCCGAGCCTCTGAGACCTCTGGGCTGTGTTTAAAAATTTCAAATTCCTAGACAGATGAGTCAATACATTTGTTAAACCCACCATTTATTGTAGTGCTGTGCAGCGCCCAAAAATGTGAATCTTTAAGTATGTAGAGACAAAACAAAGCAGTTTTACACATTTATTGCATCATGAAAACTAAAATGTGTAGCACACCAGCTTTATTAAACAATAACGCACACGGTGGGGCTGCTCACATGAGCCAGTGATACAGGCTCCTATGTGCTGCGTGTAATATTAAAGCAATGAAATGCAAAGGTGATTATTCTTAAGTGGTTCAAAACTTTGCAGCTAATTTCCGTTTTATCCTGGCCCATATTTACTTTTCTGGCTTCTGGCTTTTAGCCCATTAATGCGAAGAAAGTGGGCGAAGGTTCAAGTAAAGTGTGAGTTCACTTGCTTCTTAATCCTATGCCTAAAATGAATAGAAAGCTATTTATTTTTCTATTTCAGGCAAAGGCAAAGATGGTGTGTGTCAAAACCGAGCTGCAGCTGAACTTGTTGCCTTCATATTAACCATAATTACAGATGTGCAAGAAGACTCACGTAAGACCATAATTACAGCCTTCAGCTTCCTTTCATCCTCTCAAGATTTACTCAGAGGCAGTTGGCAAAGTTGCATCCAATAATATTATTGTCATCCACTTGCTAAATGCCAAACCTGAAGCCTGCATTTTATTTTAAAGCTGGATATATCAGAGTTTCTGACCTCCCAGCTCTAGTTTAATGGGATCGGCGCACCTTGGGTTCACTATAGGCAGAAGTGGAAGTTATGGCATGGAGCCCTAATCACTCAAAATACTTTCCTTTAATAGTCAAAGGAGCTTGCAAAGAAAAGCGTCTGGACTTCTTTAAGTTACTTGAAGACGTTTCACCTCTCATCCGAGAAGCTTCTTCAGTTCTAAGGTCAAATGGTGGAGAGTCCCAGATATAAACCTAGTGGGAGTGTCCCACTACGATGACCTGGATGACTGAGAACCTTCACAGACATATTTTCCTTTAATACATTTTTCCTGCTTTCAGAGTGACTTTATTCCACAAGATCTTTGTCGATTCATCAGACTGTAACTGGAAAATGTTTTGCTGAGCTCAGTAAACGTATGAAAATCTCCTGCAGGTTTGATACGTAAAACGAGTGGCTCGTGTTATCTCTACCAAACATGCGCAGCGGATTTAAAGTCCACCTTATTGACACATGATTCCACCAATCACAGTGAAGCACCGCTACCGCTCAGCCAATCAAAGTTGCCGACGCCGAGCCCGACCTTTCTGCGGCCGAACGATATTTCCGAGAGAAGCGTGAGTAAAAACATCTTATTTCTTTACATGTAAATGTTTGAATTTGATAACGTGGACTACGGGAACAGGTTTATTTTCACTGTGTGTGAATTTAGAGCCACAGCCCGGGCTCGACCTCACGTAGCTTAGGACGGGCTGTGGGATGCAGAGTCATCTGTGAGGGGCTGGAGTCTTCTCCTGTCCCTGTTGTTATTATGGAAGCAGTGGTTTAACTCCAGCTACATTATCAAATATGCATCTAAACCACAGTCTTAGTTAGATTTACAGTGATCACGATGATGTAGCAGAGCTGTGTTAATCCTTAATGCTTCTAACACAATGACACGTTTGCATTAAATTGGCTGTTAGGCTTCAAAAATCCAAATGCAGACCAGAATGAAGGTCTGCGATGATTGTAAATGCTGGGTAATACTAGTCTCCATCGTGGTTACACAGCGTTTCATCCAATGCACGAGCAGGGTGTGTGTTATAAAGCTGCAATGATTATACTTCAGAACAAATCCCACAAATGGATTTAGCTTTCAGGTATTGTCTCAGTCAGAACTATCAAACATTTACCTGCTCTAAAATGTGAGAATTTATGCTGATAATATATTGCCGAGAATATTTTATAATTTCAAGGACTCTAGGTAAGGAGAAAAAATATCCTACCTGATGGAAATCAGAATAAGGACAGAAAATTGACTGAAAAGGTTGCCAATCAAAAAAATGAGAGAGGTGTGTTTGTAGGAATAAAGGTGAGACTTTCAGACTATGTAAGCTGTCAAGCATGGTGGTGGTAGCATCGTGCTCTGCAGCTTTTGTGCAGTCAGTTCGCCACACAAAGTGGATGGAATAATGAAGAAGTAGGACTATCTCCAAACCTCGCTTTGGTGTAGACTGATCTGTAGCGCCTACCAGAGTGGGGAGGTTGGAAGAGGTCATCAGACTCATGACCATCGTGTCATCGCAAACATCACAATCTGCAGACAGCCCTTCTGAGGTGCTGTCATTTGTGAACAGGGAGAAGAGTGCTTAGAGGGTTCAAAGTAAATAGAGCTGCTCCTTGCATATAAAAGCCTCTCATAAAAGGAACGAGTGTGAAGTTTGGTGTCATTTTCATTTTATGATGGACAGATCAGAACTAATATTTTTAGTGTGATGCTAGAAAACAGAGATTGAAGCTGCTTTCCCTTCTGCTGTGCTTGAATGTGAAGCTTCACTTAAAGTACAAACAAAGTTTATAGAGACTTCTTGTTGTAGCGTGGGTAAGAAGATGGAGTTAGATGGTCGGCGACCAGACCTCGTCGATACAGAGAGGCTGGGTGTGCTGTGCAACGTGATGCATCGCCTCAATGTTCATGATAAACAGAGAAGGTTGAGTTTAGTTTGAATGCAAAGTCACAAAATAGCTAATCAAAAGGATGAAATATAGAAAAAACAAATGTATTATGTAATCTGTACTGCTGTGATCATCTTATCTGCTGCAGACAAACAGATGTTACAAAGAAAGGGTCATAGAGTCATAAAATCTGAGAAGATTATTATTTGACTCATTATAAGCACAGAGAATAAGATTGTGGACCATAACATAATTATATGTTATTTTATTGTAATATTTAGGTCACTAAAGCAGCTGTAAACCAGTCAGTGCTTATCATCGTCATCATCATGGCCTCTGGAGCGTTGTTCCCCAGCATGGTGTCTGGGTCCCGCGGCTCCTCCAGTAAGTACCTGGTGGAGTTTCGTGCCGGTAAGATGACCATGAAGGGCAGCACGGTGACGCCTGACAAGCGTAAAGGTCAGGTCTACATCCAACAGACGGACGACTCCCTCATCCATTTCTGCTGGAAGGATCGGACCACCGGGAACGTGGACGATGTAGGTAACGCCATCCGGATGAGGTTAACTGGTGTTTGAATTTCTTAATATCACAGCAGTCATTTCCATTTGCCAATTTAGGACCTGATCATCTTTCCTGATGACTGCGAGTTCAAACGGGTGAATCAGTGCACTACCGGACGAGTCTATGTGCTGAAATTCAAAGCTGGCTCCAAAAGACTCTTCTTCTGGATGCAGGTATGCAGCTGCTCCAGACTCGTCTGTTTACTAATCCTTTGTTTCCCAGCATGTTTTCTCTTTTTATTCAAGCTAAATATAATTATTTCTTACCGAAAGGTTACTGACTTTTCTCCTGAATCTTTCACTAAATTGAAGAAGATTCAAGAGAATCATTTCATGACATCCCGGTTCACTTCAAACCAAGCAGACAAAAACTGGTTCATCTGTTGTGCTGTCCATATAACTGGCCCCTGGGTCATTACATGGAAAATCAGTTCAATTGTCAATTTTTAAAATTCTGTTTTATTTATTTAGGGCCAAATCACAACAACAACCAACAATCAACAACAGTTGCCTCAACACCCTTTATATTGTCTAGATTCTACAATAATACAGAGAAAACCCCAACAATCAGCGTTTGAGGGTGAGGGGAGGAAGGCAGGACAAAGACAGGCTGTGGAAGAGAGGCAGAGATTAATGATAACTAACGATTAAATGCAGAGAGGTGTAAAACACACAGTGAGTGAAAAAGAAAGATTTGAAAATCAGATTTGACTGATTTTTACATCTTTCTTTCTTACACATAAGAATCCACCTCGTTTCTGTCACCTTCCTTTCACGTAAGCCGATAACAAATCTTCCTGCTTCTGGTTCAGATCCAGCACTCTTTGGTAGTAGGCCAAGTTTCCCTTGGAAGGGATTTTCAGTTTCCAGCGTGAGCAATATTCCCATTCAAGCTGAAGTCATAGGACAGGTAGCTTTCTGTTGACTGCTTAAACAGACCCGGATGCCTTTGGCAGACGTTTAGAGGAAATGA